AAAGTCGTTCGTCTTCAAAATCTTCGAACGAACTACAATATTGACCAACACGTATAAGAGCAGCTCGAAACCATTGTCGATGAAATAAGCGTGGATGACTATGCTCATAAGGTAATAAAAATGGTTGAATTGTTGAATCATGATGGACATGAGTATGTAAAGATCCTTTTCGCTTTTCAATAGCAGCATGAAGAAAATGAACATCACTACTAATAAATGTTGTCATTTGAAGATTCGAATCTAGTTCTTGTTCAAGTTTATTGAATAATGTTTGCAATTGATCAATCGGACCATTCCATGTTAAAAAACTTGAATCTTTATATCGACCATAGAATGTATCTTTCAAACAAATATGTGTAACTAATGAATATTGCCAATGATGCATATAAATATGACATAATAATTCTATTAATGGTAAATTTAATGGACCTCCTTTAATAAATCGATAGATTTTTCCATTATAAGAGAAAACATTATTTCGTAAGACTATTGCAGTTAATTCTTGAATAGCATCACTTGATAATTTTTGATGTTGACCATTGACAAGTGGATTCATTAGAAATATATTTAATGCTTCAAGAAGAGCCGAATGTGATATCTTCGTATATAAATCATGAATTTTAAATGTTGCAAAATATGTTTTCGGTAGAAGAAGATCTAGTTGTATACAATAATATTGTAGTTTTTGTATAAAATCACCACCATTAAGAAATGTTGTTGATCGTGAAAAATTATCAAATAATGGTCGAAGAAGTTGATTAAGATAAGTAGCTAGAGTATATATTGGACAATGCTGACATGATGATAGTCGTGGTTGTACTGACATATGAACATTTTCATTAGTTTCTGGTAAGAAATAAAGATATGGAAGATTGATATTTGTTTTTTTGCCAATACTTAATCTGATTAAATGATCTTCTTTAATCAATTTTCTTTGATATAATATTTCCAGTTGTAAATCAATAGATTGAATAATTCTTTCTAATTGTTGTTGTTCTGTATTAATTTCATTAATTGTTTCAATCAGTTCGTAACAAGTTGAATTCTGAATATATTCATTCGATTTTTGATTAAATTCATTCAATCGACCAAGATAATATGTATTCATCTCATCAGCGGTTCGCCGTAGAATCAATTGATCTTTATTTAATTGATATCTAATTGATAGAATGAGTTGTTTTTCATAGAGTGCACGCTCTTCAAGTACAGAAGGCATAGGTTGAAGAAATGATTCGTTGAATAATTGTTCAATCCCGTTTTCAAAATGCATTTGACGAGAGAGATCGATTGGATATTTGATGAAAAGTTTTGCAAGTTCTCGTTGAAGTGGTGCCATTTGTTTCGTAACGATTTGAGCCAGTATTAAAGAAGATTTTGATAAAATATGTATTTGACATGGTGGAACATAGGTTGGTCCACGATTAAGAAATGTAACTTGTTCCTGTGATAGATGATGTGGTATGTCTTGAACTATTGTTGGTGAGCAAGTGATATTTGATTTTTGGATAGGAATGCTCCGACGATCGATCCAATCTAATTCTTGACCGTCGGAGCTTTGACGAAAAAACGTAGTTTTAATTTGTAAAGACATGTAAGACGTTCATTTATATTCTGAAAACGTCGTTCCATAATATTCAACATTGTTTGAGTTAATTTTTTATGTGATGGACCAGAACATTGATTTCCTTTCATTTTAACCAAGTCTGTATCGAATTTCTTTTCATATTCATTCATTTTTGCTTCGGCTGTTGCAATATAAATCATCATCATTTCAGATTTCGTCCGTTGTAAAATTTTCTCACATCGATCCTTTAAACGTTGACAAGTCATCGTATCAGTAATTGTATCGAATGATATGGGTGGAGGTATTTTAAGTGATTCAAATGATTGTGGTAAATGATTATAAACAATACGTTGTTTTAATATTGCTACATCAAATTTAGATGTTTCTTTTTCATATTTGGCTTGAGTAAGATTTTCAAATATTTGTTTTTGATATTCATTTGGATTTTGTTGATAATATTCTAATTGAATCAATCGATCATTATAATCATATTGAACGATAGCAATTTGTTCTTCTGTAGGTACTTTATATATAGGTGTGACATGTTGTTGAACAAATTTAGTAATAGCTTCTCCGATTTCACATGTCCAACAATTGTTTAAACGTTTTTTTCTTTCTTTCAATTGAGCTTGATAATGTTCAGTTTGGTTTCGAAATTTTTGTAGTACTCTCTGAACATAATTCAAACAAGAAGCATGATCTATTTCATTTGGATCAGATGCAGTTGCTTGACCACGATCAATCATTCTCTGTTTAACTTCTAAAGGCCATAATAAGAGTGTCGATGTTGTTGCTTGTGGCTTTAATGTACCTGTCCCAGAACATAAATATGTAGTCCATAGTAATATATCAAGATCAATGCATTCAAGTTGGTGAATAAGAATAGCAATCTCTCGTAAATATTCAATATTGATAGAAGTTGTTGTCGTTTTTTCAAGTATAGGATTGATCATTTGTTCAAATGCTTTATTATGACTTGATAAATATCTTGGTATTTGATTACTAGTTGATTCTTCGTTATCGGGTTTCATTTTTTTCGATATGTTATCTGTTGTTGTACTTGGTGTTAAAGCTGGTCGTTCCTTGACAGTTGATGTTTTGGATTTATCGCTATCCTCTTGCTCTTTATCAGTAGCTGATAATTGACTTCATTTTTGAGATAAATTTTCTTCTTTGAACACGGAATCAATCAAATTATTCTTATCATCATTTAATTGCTCAATTTCAATTACATCATTATTATTATCTTTGCCAATATTCATATAAAGATTATCAAAATCAATGTTTGTATCTTCTTCCTCATCAAATTGATGGAAAATGTCATCAAATCGATTGATATCTCTTTCAATCTATAACAGATAGTTCTTATTAATATTGAGTAAATGTTGTTCATTCTTTTTCAGAGTTAAACCTACGTTTCGATCTGGATCAGTCATTAATTTTGTATTAAAGAATACTTTCAATTGATATTCAACTATCTAAAATTATGAAGAGAATTAAAACAAAAAACTATCATAAGCGCTTATGTTTTTCTTATTATATATCATAGCAAGAAAAAATAAAAAATAAAATATTTGATACAATAAAATAACAACTACTTATGATAACCTGATTTAAATGAAATGTTCATTTTTTATATTAAATCTTCATTCGAAAGTGAAATAAATGAAATTTAAGATTCTTTATAAATGTATATGTACATTGATAGCTTGTTGTAAGACATTAGTAGGCTTGCGTTTTAGCATTGGCAGTGGTGGTTTCTTGTGCACAAACATATCTTCTAAAGTACGGTTGGTTTTGACGGCAAATTTTAGTTGAACGTGTTCCACATTAGATCCTTTATATGCAAAATGCTTTTTCCACCATGTGCGGAAATCACGTTGAAAAGCTAATCTCGGTCCACTTTCGAAGTTATATTTGGCATACATGACATTGGAATCCCAAGGTTTCTTTCTTTGTAATACTTCAGGTAAAATATCAATGTCTCCTGTTGCTTGTTGCAGTTGCTGTTCTCTTCTTGTGGGCTTATGAAGTAATTGTTGGTGTAATTGGTGGCATACTTGCGAGTCGAGTCTTTCAAATACTGCCATAGTCTGATTGATTTCGAAGAATCGATGGAAATGTTTGGATATAAATGAAGGTGGATATTCATTTAGTAATAATGATAAATCGATACGAATACGTTCCATATCAAAATCTTCTATATTTGAGCAGATTCGCGCAGCTCTTCACAAAGCAGCATATGGTATATTACGAAAAACATGTCGAGGATGATCCGAAGTATAAGGTAGTACATAAGGTTCAGCTGCTGATTTATGAAAGATAGAAGTTTTCAAGTGACCATGTTCGTTGTTGACGGTAACATCAAGAAAGTCGATAGTAGATTGAATAGAATAAGAAATACGAATATTGGGATCTTTTCTATGAGCATTGTCCAATCTTACTTTGATTTCATCATGTGTTAAGTTTGTTGTCATAAATACATCATCAATATATCTAAAGCGAATAAGAAAAATATTATAAGTAGTATTGAATAACACTCAAACATTTTGAACAAACCTTCCATAAATTTCCTGATCTGCTTGTTGGTCATGCATTAGTTGTTGTTCCCAATCTAGCATATAAATATTAGCTAAAGTTTGGGTAAAGGCAGATCCCATTGCTCCACCACGTATTTGTCGATAATATTTATTTTCATAAGCAAAAATATTCGTATCCAACACGAGACGAGCCATTCTCATAATATCATCAATACGTAATGTACCGATTTTATTATTATGCAAATTTCGCTCTAGAAATTGTAATAATACTTCTAAAGCACCTTGTCGTGGTATCATTGTATAAAGATTTTCAACATCAAAAGTAATAAACAAAGTGGTTGATTTTAAATGACCATTGGCAGCATATTTTTCTAATGCTCGAACAAGATCAATAGCATTAATAGATGTAGTTTGTCGAGCAACACGTAGAAATATAGGTGCTAATAAATCATTAAGAAATTTGGATATTTCTGTTGCTGGTGCATGAATAGCCGCTACAATTGGTCGTAATGGTGTATCGGGCTATGAAAATGAAAGATAAATAGATGAATTCAAAGAATTACATATTATATATATATCTTTCCAATGGCAATAAATACAAATAAACTTACTTTATGTGGTTTCGGAATAAAATGATGATGGGCCAATTCTAATGAATCTATTTTTGGAGACATTTTCTTATGTTGCTTATAATTAATGGCACGATTTTTCAAGAGAGAAGCTAGAAGCATAGTAACTAATCGGAGATTTTCCGATAAAATACAACGTTCATTGGAAATCTCTTGATAAGCTTCGGTTTCGATCATATATTTCGAAGCTTTGTCACCGAAAATAGTCACATTACCTGCATAAAATACTTTGCTCTTGTCAGTTCGACGAACAGTAATATCAGGTCGATGACGTAAAATTTTTCTTATACTTCGTATTACTTTTTGTTCACGTCGAGCACGAATGTTTAGTTGATGTGGTAATTTTTTTGATTGAAATTCATAGAGTATGCGTTTCAAGCAAGGAAAACCTTCTTTCTCATGTGGTTCTATAAGCTGCACACGATGATCATCAAGACAACCTTGAACAATTGAACGTAATGTTTTATATTGTTCATTGACAATATCATCAATAGATTGACGTGAAAATCGACTTTGACATGGTGGAATATATTTAAGACCTTTGATAAACATAGACATTTGTATTGGCGATAAATTTAAAACTGTTTCAATAAAAGGTGATGAGGCAGTAATATTTGTATAAATGCTTAGATTGCTCCGGCGGATACGTTGCCTTTGCCGTTGTCTACTGCCGGAGCCTGTTCGAAAAAAAGATATTATTTTATATTGAAATAATTCTTGAGCACGTTTTTTCATATTTTCTCCACGAATTTCTATCGCTTGGATAAGTTGTTCAGTAGATGTTCGTAGTGAATTATTATCAAGTTGGTGTAATTTATTTTTCGTATCGATTGTCAATTAAGCATAACCACGAGCTGTATCTTGAGCTATAGCAATCGTCATAGCCATCAAATCAAATTTATATTGTGTAATTGTTTTAGAGCAACGTGATGCCATACTAGCACGTCGATCTTTATGTAGAATAGCACGTGAAAGCATTGTTTGAATAGGAGCAATAGATTCATTAAGAATTTTATCAAATGATTGAGGAAGTCGTCTTAATGACACTCGTTTTCGAAGAATTTCCACTTCTTCCAGTGCTTTCTGTTCATTAGCTATAGCTTGCCAATACATTTTGATCAGTACAATCTAAAATATTAAACAAATAAATTTCTTTATTTCTATTGCTTCTAATAAATCTGTTTATATAGTGAAACCTGTTCTTCTGTCGGTTCCAATGCATATACGGCTGAAATGAAACGATGATCATCAGCATCCAATTTTAACATTGCACATTTATGTTTGAATTCCATATTTAAACGATATTGACCAAGTTTAACCATTGCTTCAACAGTTGTTGAGAGAAATTTTGAATCGATGGATGGCTGAACATTTTCAGTCCATTCTAGTAGATAAATCAATTGTTGTTGTAGTTCACGATTTGTTCGATTTATTTGATGTTGAATAGTTTTTTGACGTTGTTCAACAAGTTTCTCAGATCGACCATAGGATACACAAGTATAATGTTGTTTTGCTTCCGATTTCAGTACTCGTGGAGCCCAAATACCCTCAGTCATAGTCAAATCGAAATAATCTTTCCATAATTCTTGTTGTAATTTAAAATAATACATCATATTAAAGGTATGAGCTAATTGACGTG